TGGTGCCCTTTCCTATTCACCCTGTTCTCCCGTGACCCACCTGCCCCAAATGTTATGAAGTCTGACATCACCTGCTCCATCTGTAATGCAACCATAACTAATGTGTCAGGTCCCCAGACTTTCATGACTGAGGTCTCAGGCAGTGCCAGGGTGACGCTAAGCCTCACTGACCACACACAAATCTGAACAGACCCATTGTCCCCAGGACCCTCCTTGTTTCTGCCTGATCCCCACTGGGACCCCAGTCTGTCTCACTGGGCCCATCTCCATTCCCATGGGGACAAGGACTGCAACCGCTGAGTTGGGACCATTTGTTCTTCAGGCCATGGCTGACAAGCACACAGGGAAAGTGGGTAAATAGGTTCTCACTTGACAAGTCTATCCCTAATTACTGAGGCTTACCCAGAGTTACATGGAACAGTGAATGCACACCAGATATGTCAGTGATATGTGCTAAGGTCTTTATTGAGCACAAGTAGAAATAGGGAGGGCGTGTGACCTGCCTGGTCTGAGCTGATCCAGGGGTTGGTTCACAGGGCTACACAGTGGGCTGGGGAAGGGGTGTCTGGTGAGGAAGGCCCCCATCCTGGAAGCCTTGGGAACCTAAGAGCACTCTGCAGGGACCACACTCTTCTCCACGCTGGTCCCCTCGTGCGTGACCTGGCAGGTGAATCTGCTACGAGATTTCTACTGGTTCGGTGACAGGCTCAGGTAGCTGCTGGCCGCATACTTGTTGTTGCTCTGTTTGGAGGGCTTGGTGGTCTCCACGCCCTGGGTGACGGGGGTGCCATCTGCCTTCCAGGCCACCGTCAAGCCACTGGGGTAGAAGTCACTGATGAGGCACACCAGGGTGGCCTTGTTGGCGCTGAGCTCCTCATTGGAGGGTGGAAAGAGGGTAACTGAGGGCGCGGACTTGGGCTGACCTGTGGGGCAAGGGAGAGGTAACAAGTCAGAGTTCACATGCTTATTCAGTCAGCTCCTATCTCTGTCCTGAAGTGGGATACAGCTCTGTCATATCTAAAGCTTGGTCCTCAGTTGCCTCTTGCTCCCTGTGGTCTGGTCAGCGGTGGATAAGGTCACTCACCTTCTGTTGGAGAGAAACTGAGTGTCCATCTGTTGGGAGATCTGAGCCCAACTGTGGCTCTCGTCCCTCTTCAGGTTCAACTGTACTCATCACTTTCCTAATTGCCTCTAGGCTCCCATGTTACTGACTTTTATCATGCTTGACACCTAATCTTTCCCTGTGGAACCTGTCTGTCCTGTGGCATGTCCTGCCAGGTCCATCTCCAAGGGGTGCTCATGTAGGTATCTGTCTGTCCTGGTGTTAAGCTCTCATCCCCTTCCGGGAGGGGGTTTCTTGGCCACATTCCCACTGATCCCTCATTGCAGCCCCTGCCCACCTCCTGACAAAGCCCCTCTAAGGTTGCCTGAGGGGGAGAGAGTGTCTGCCCTTGGGCCGGAATCTAGTCTAGCAGGTGGAGGCTTTCTGGAAGAGGTGAATCTGCTGTTCTGAGGCTGGAGCTGGGGCTTCTCTGAGGGGTCACTTTGCACGTGAAGTTATCTTGGGGCATCTGCTGTGCTAGCATCACAGTGTGCCTATCATTGGCAGCCATCCTTGTCTCCCGTCCCTGAGGAGTCACCAGCCCCAGTATCTGCTCAGGGGTCTCTCCTCCAACATTAATATGGGTGGGACAAGCTTTGGGGCCTGAGTGTCCTGAGCCATGTCCTGTGTGAGGAGGTCCTGTGTGTCCTGGAGAAGGATGAGGGACCCAGCACTCTGAGGCCACCTTGTCCCAGGAAATCCTCCTTCTGTTCTCATTTCCCTTGCCTTGGGTTCCCTTTTATTCCACGGCCAACCAAGAGTTCCTCCCAAAACCTCTCAGTAGCTCCCACCTAGAACCCGGAGAGCATAGAACCCAAGTGTGATTGATACACACTTGGACAGATGAGCTATGCAAGCATCCTTTACTGGTCCTATGGCCCTTGTGCCCCAGCCCAGGTTCCCCAGTCCTGTGTTCCTTCAGTCCCTCATTTCCCCACATCTGGGGGATGACAGACCCCAAGGAAGCTGATTGTGTCAGAGTCCAGAGGAGAAGCCCCCTGAGAGTGCTCTGGGTCACAGTGAGGGGGAACAGGAAGGGGTCCTTGGGACTGACCTGAGCTTCCCCGACCAGGAGTCTGACAAGAGAGAACAAGCTAAAGTGGTGAGGGACAGCCCCAAACTGTGAAGGTCCCAGAACTTAGAGAGTTTCAGACCCCAAGCACAGTCATCACAGAAAGAAGAGAAAAATTGCCCCAATTTTCACTCTGGTTGCCAAAGAGAGAGAAAGGGGGAGACTCACCGAGGACGGTCACCTTGGTCCCTCCGCCGAAAACATAACACAGTGATACAGCTTTGAACACAAACCCTCTGTCAGCCCTGGCACCCTTCCCCCTTCCCCAGGCCCACCTGCAGCTGCTTGGGAGGCTCAGAGTCCAGCCTCCTCTTTGTGGGGGTTGGGCTGGCCCATGGGAGCTTGAGACAGGGCACCCCCTCCCCAATGCACCTTCCCTTCCTCATGGGGTGAGCTTCCCCCCAGCCCCCACCATGGTGGGGTAGGAGGGAATGCCTGAGTGACATATCATAACTCAGGTAGCTCCTGGCAGGAGCTCTGTGTATGGCTCAGCTTGCTTGGGGAATGCTACCTGGGAGATCGGACAGCACAGTTTCCAACACAGACATCACGAGGCCTGTGCCTTCTGCAGAGCTGAGGCCCGTGGAGGGTTCTGGATGCCACCACATGTCCTAGACACATGCCCAACATGGCCACGTGTACAATAGCAGGCGTGTGTGTGTGTGTCCTGGTGTGTGCACGCAAGTTTATTGGGTGTGTGTGCATGTCTATTCTGTCTGTGTGACTAGGGGCCTAGACCTGCCCTTCTGAGCTAGCTCTGCTAGCTAGCAGTGGAGTCTTCCTGGTTCTCAAGGCCCATTCACAACTTTCCAGAAAATGACTGTGCGCACAGATGGATCCATGACACAATTCAGAATGGGATCTTGACATGGATTCATGGCCCCAATGAATACGCATGGACATTTTAACTTTAGTGGTATTTTGTGCATAACTCCAAGGTGTCTCTGTCTCCCAGGGGCCTTTAATACAACTGGGTCCTCCGTGACACATGTAGAAGGAGAGGCCCCCAGTGGGAGTGTGGGAGATACTGACCAGGGTCTAGAGACTGAGTTTCCTATAATGAGTGCAGCAGGGCAGGTCTGGGGAAGGGAACAGTGCAATGTTCCCAGGGAGGCAGGGGCACGGGGCCCCTGTGGAAGGAAAGATTCTCTAGGATGTGATGATGGGAAGTTTCCAAATGTGTAGGAAACCACAAAAGGCATGGCCTTGCGTGGGGGCCTTCAAGGAAGGGAGACATCCCAGTGAGTTGGGCTGGTCCCAGTGAATAAGGTCCCAGGACCGGAGTGGAGACTGGAAATGAACCAAGAGGCCATGGGAATCAAGGGCTATGATCCTGAAAATGGTTGGGGTGGAAATGGCCTACAGAAGTCTATCAAGATCCACAGGTGTGGGCCTTGGTACTCTGGGTCTTGCTGCTTCCGTTGCGAGTACAGAATATTGTGTGTGCAAATTTGGGTGAGTGGGAATCTGTTCCACAAAGAAATATGGGGCTGCTCTGCTGGCTCTTCCCCATAAAGCCAGTGAACCTGTGTTCACTCCAAGGATGGTTGAGTTCAGGGCACAAAATGTTAAACACAAATGACCAGATAGTGTGATTTCTGATTGAATAAAGGACATTTTATTGAGCATTGATTGAATGAAGGGAGAAGGGCTGGAATCATCCTGGTGCAAGGGGAATCCTTCCTGTAGGTCCAATGGCTGCACACACCCTTGGGTTGGTGAGAGTCTTGGGGACCTAAGAGCACTCTGCAGGGACCACATTCTTCTCCATAGTGCTCCCCTGGTACGTGACCTGGCAGGTGAAGCTGCTGAGAGATTTCCACTTGACAGGTGACAGGCTTATGTAGCTGCTGGCCCTTACTTGTTGTTGCCCTGTTTGGAGGGCTTGGTGGTTTCCATGCCCTGGTAACAGGGGTGCCGTCTGCCTTCTAGGCCACCGTCAAGCAGCTGGGGTAGAAGTTATTCATTAGGTAGTCTTGTTGTCGCTGAGCTCCTCAAGGGAGGGTGGGATGAGGGTAACTGAGGGTGAGGAGTTCGGCTGACCTGTGGGGTGGGGGAGGGACAGGAGGTCAGAAGCTCAGCTTCCATGTTTGGGGTCACTTCACTTGACATCGGCCTTCACGTGGGTACAGGTACCTGAACATTCAGTCAGGCACCCAGTTCTCACTCTGCGTCCAT